TTTCTTGTATGTCCAAACTTTTCATACAGATTTATCAAAGTAAGTTTAATTATTTTTTTCTTTCTACTACATTTTATAGCTTTTTGGCCACAGTAACAATTCTCTGAAATGCTCGAGTGATTCTTACTCTTCTGTGAATTCCTTTCCTGGCTGATTCAACCCTAAGAAATTTGGTCTTTTTTACACAGCTCACAGTCTGAATAACGAAGATGCTGAGATCATCCCAGAGCACGTGTCCTGATGCTTTCCTGGCTGGGGTGCACAGTCCTTGAAATTAGCTCCGTGTTTAAGATGATATACTTGTTTACTAGTTCACACACCATGAAAGCTGACAGACTCAGCACCAACAGGTTTGGGTTTTCCAAAGTGAAGGTAGAAATGGGAATTGTGCAGGCTGTGCATTAATATCATTGCATCAGACATCTTGCAGAGTAGTGAAATTCTCATAACGGACTTAAAAGAAGTGCCATATACACAAAGATATGTTCTGGCCATACCAATGGCCCATCTACTTCTATCGGTAGCTGCCAGTAAATGCTTAAGGAAAGAGCTTGAGATGGAAGTGTGAGAAGGAAGGGAATACTTCCCTAGTATTAGTCTCTGAAATACAGTAATGTTTAAGAAAAACAGGAAAAGAAAATGTAGAGTGAGAAGAATGGAAATAAAGGACAGCTCAAACCATCCAGCTGTGGAATGATTTCAAAGGAACAGTGCTGTCATTTGGCTCATTTTTACACAAACAAATTCAAACACTAGAACTGGATCTCTGAAAATCTCCACTACAAACAGTAATGCAAGTCCAGTACCTTTTTCACCGTTTTTCCAGCACTCCATCCTATTCCATTCTTAGTGGCCTTTTCTATTACTTCTAAGACGTCGGAAAATGTAGGAGTCTATTTAAAACACTGGCAACTTTCCTCCAGCAGCAGCAGCTGTGGCTTGGCCCAGCAGCTCTCCCTGACAGAACTGTTCTCTTGTGGCACACACACGGCATCACAGTGTGACTGCATCAGCAGATTTCCTGCAAATTCTGTTTCATGTCTTCTTATCCTTCTATACCTTCTTTGCCTTAAGCTTCTGCATATGCTCCATTTTCATGCTGTGCATGCGTCTGTGTCCCACTATGGCATTTGCAATGATACCTTCCCCTCCCACAGAATCAGGGAATGGTTTGGGCTGGAAAGGACCTTAAAGCTCATCCGGTTCCAACCGCCTGGCACAGGCAGGGACACCTTCCACTAGAGCAGGTTGCTCCAAGCCCCGTCCAGCCTGACCTTGAACACTGCCAGGGATGGGGCAGCCACAGCTTCTCTGGCCACCCCGTGCCACCACCTCACCACCCTTTAAGGACTTGTGATGTCTGCTGGGCTACCCCATTCTCCACCATAATGAGATGAAAATGCTACTCAATCCCTGCTGCTTACAGTCTTCATCTTATGTTGCTGGAATGATCATGACAGCTCAAGGTATATCTGAAGCCAGAATCTGTTGGTGGGAGCACACCAGGTAGTACATTGCTCATTCAGTCACCAGGAGCTGACCCAATATACAGAACTCACTGGTGGAACTGTTATTTCTCATCATGTTACAAATCACCAGTGTCCCTTCTGTCAGTAAAGTGAAACGCAGAAAATACGTGGCACGTTTCACCACTGGGTTCTCTCATTTCACATTCCAGTCTTGATGCATTTTTGAAGGACCACAAGAATGTGTAGTTTAAAACCTGTCTAGTAAACTTCCTTGATCCCAAGGCATACGCTTTGAATTTAAGTGACTTTCTGTTTTCAAGTGCCCTTTGGAACAGTTTCCTTTTCCTACTTGGCTCAACTAATTTTCAAATCAAGACAGAAGCAACAGCATGTTCCATCCTGTGATGCAGACTGTGAGTGAGGACCTTTGGGACCTCCGTGCTGATTGGGTGAAATTACATGTGCCCTCAAGCAATTGCCCCAGAAGTATTCCTGGAATGGCTGCAATGCTTGCAGGACTGCATAGTACCCTGAATCTCTGCTGTGGAAAGACAGTACAGGAACACTATTACTTTCCAGGCAGAGAACTGCACACCCTCCCCTAGATCCTGGCTTATAGCCCAGAGATTAGCAGAGCTTTTCATAGGCTTTCTCTAATGAACAGTCACAGACCAGTATAAAAGAAGTCACTCTGAGACTCTTTTCTATGTCTTAGATTTTAGTTTCCTAAGGAGAACAGATTTACATGGGTGTAAACCACCAGGCTGAGTTAGGACAAGTACTCAAGAACTTAGGGTTCTGGGATCACTCCAGTAGCTCAGTCTCTGCAGAAAGTCTCCACTTTCATGCTGGGCCTCACACTCATGATACATGACATGTGAAAGCACCCTGAGCCCAGAATAAATGAACACACAGAAGCCAGCAGCTGTGGAAATCAGCCTCTTCATGTGTCAAGTGGACCAGGGAGCACTGGCAGCACCATAAGGCATTCAGTCTGTAAGAATGAGGGTTGTAATGTCAGTCCTTCACACAGAGAAGTCTGTAAATACAGGACAAAATACACATGCAAGTGTGTAGTCCAAGAAGAACGTGCAGTCTGTAAAGGACAGCACTGAATCCTGTGCTATCCCTCCTGCTCTACTCTGTACTTATATTCTCCACCATGGGCAGAATCACATTTTATTTAAAACGCATTTTTAAGGCTTGATGCTTCGGTCATATTCTTTACATTTTCTGAATATTACCTGAATTTGCCACTACGAGAATGCAGTTCAGGATATTCTAGTTTTGGAAAAGTAAGATCTGATTTATAATGAGATGTACAGGTAAGGATCTATCACTATCCTTCATCCAGTAGTGTATACAGCAAGGTTACTGCTTTCTACCTTGTGGTGGTTTTAGTTTCAAAGCAAAAAGTGGTGCATGGTTTGGTTTTGGAGGGATAGAGCTCAGGTTGAATCGGGCATTGGTGGCAGAAGGAATGCTAAGGCACAAGTATTTTTTAACATTCCATGTATAAGTGAACATACTCCAAACCAAAACATGCATTTGGATCCTCTCCTTTTATGTCAAGGAAAAAAAAGTGTTTATACTTCAGATCAGCACGTTTTCCATTGCAGAGCAGCATCATGAAGATGAAGATGGGCTCCTCACTGAATAATGATTTCATTGAAGAAATGTCCTTCAGTTCCACAACAGTTACAATGTGAAAAAGCACACAAGAAGTCTCCAAAGAAAACATGGAGTCTAGGAATCACATATGAAAGAGTTAAGGAACAGGTGGGCAGTGCCAGAATATGTTGTGCTTCAGGGAGAGCATCTCACCTCTTTAAATCAAGACCCATTAAAGACTCACCTACAGATGCCCTTTTCAACCCATGTTTTGCTTTGTGTTTAAAGCTTGCACTGTAATATGACATAGGTCCTGCAAACTGTCAGTTTTAAAGGACAGAAAGGCCATGTAAAGACACAGTTATCTCACACTATTATTGCAAGGATGTTTCTCAAGCCGTATAAGGGGGTTGTGTTTTAAGCATGGGAGAAAAGGAATGTACATTCAATAACATGGAACCAGGCTGTGCAGAGGCAAACACCATTCACTTCTGTGCTCTAAATGCTCATACTCCATAGCTGTTCACACTGCAATCCACAGTAGAGTCTCCTAGCCCTAAGCCAAACAATTTCATCCCTGTCCAGCTGTTCCAGACCCCCTCTGACTCATCCTAGAACCAATTCCATACCTCATTTTCCATGCTGACCCAACCAGCAAGATTAGCTCAAAACGACTGGAGTCATTCTATATAGCAGAGGAATTCCTGTAATTAAACCTTGAGCAACACTTTGATAACCCATTTTCCATAGTATTTTTCATAGTTTGACAGATAATGTTATTCCCCTCTAGCCCAGGTTTCCTGGGAAACAAAGCACATCCATGCTTTTCTAATCTTTCCAGGGAAATTAAGCCAAATTAAAGCATTTCATGGGCATTCATTACATTTTATCATAGATAGTTCATGGACTATCAACTTCAACTGCCCAGAATATGCTTCTGCTTAATGGGTAGCAGAAACGATTCAACCTGCTTTTTGTAACAGGCTCTTCTTGCCCAGGGGCAACATTAACCAGGGACAAAGCTTCCTTTCTGGGAAGTACTTTGTTCCATCCCAAGTCGATGAAACACTCCAATTCTGAAAACTGGAGGTTGCTATGGCAAAAATGCGTGAAAGGGGCCCTTCACAAACATGCAAGCCAACTCCAGCTTCCATTCCATATGTTAACATACACATGGAACAGTTGGAGAAATTCCAGGGGAAGGCCATGAGCGTGATCAGGGGCTGGAGCACCTCCCATACAAAGGCTGAGAACACTGGGGCTGTTCAGCCTGGAGAAGAGAAGCTGCATGGAGACCTCAGAGCAGATTCCAGTGTTTGAAGGGGGCTACAAGGATGCTGGAGAGGGACTCTTCATCAGGGACTGTAGCGACAGGACAAGGGGTGATGGGTTGAAACTGAAACAGGAGAGATTCAGAAATAAGGCAGAAGCTCTTCCCTGTGAGGGTGCTGAGGCGCTGGCACAGGGTGTCCAGAGAAGCTGAGGCTGCCCCATCCCTGGCAGTGTTCAAGGCCAGGGTGGACACAGGGGCTTGGAGCAAGCTGCTCTAGTGGGAGGTGTCCCTGCCCATGGCAGGGGTTGGAGCTGGATGAGCTTTAAAGTCCCTTCCAACCCAAAGCAGTCTGGGATTCCACGATTCCATGGCATGTTTGTCTCCTTTGATTTTCTGGAGGGGAACACATTGTTTTAAGTTAAAGCTCAGAGCAGATTGTTCAGCTCTTGCATGGAACCTTATTTCTGTTCTTCCTTTGGCTGGGGAAAATCTAGTGGAAATGTTCCTTCAGAACACATGCGGTCACACCTAAGAGGCTCTGCAAGCTGTGACTGTTCAGATGAGCCTGCAGATAATGTCAACTTCAAAACTGTGAGTTCACTGAACTCACACACCAGTTACTTGGATAAACATTAAGCCCCACTCACCTACACCTTGAAGAGGAGCTGCCCATAGCAGGAAGAGCTGTTGAACCAAAGTGGAAGTGTACAAATTCTATAACTGAAATCAGAGAGAAATCAGGCTCAAAGAGGAGAAGCAATCTGTAAAGAGAGTATGTTAACTGGCAATTGGAATAATGCCTCTTATTTAGCAGAGAGCAAGGAGGGGGCTCAAACAGCCAAACTGGAACTGAGAGCATCTTACTAGAGAGAAAAGAAAACAAGGTGTTTTCTACCCTCACTCCTATTTTGGCTACTTAGGGGAGGTGCTGGAAATAATATCAGGATCATTGCTATAGAATTTGGAGTGCTTTTACAGGATTCTGTGATCTTACAGACTTGCAATGCTTTTACTGAAAAGCAGCTTTCAAAGCTAGGCCAGCATTTGAAGCACAACAAATTCTGGACACTTCTAAAAAGAGAAAACCAGGTTGTCAGGGGATCCAACCACAGCTCTCAACAGCCTCATACTAGCTTTGCAGACTGATGTACCTGCAAGTTCCTTATGCAAAGAAATAAGTACATTTGAGAGAACTAAAAAGCGTGGAAGGAAACAAAGGAGCAGACTAATTGCTCACACAGTGGGAGAAGCACAGTCCCTCTGACCCCCCCCTTGTAGTCCATGGAGTGGTTCCTGAGCTGTTCTGAGACAGAGGCAGTGCTGCCAGGTCTAACATTCCAGCAATTACTGGAAATGGAAAGAGCAACACAGATGCCAAGGGTATGATGCAAGTTTCATTGTCCCAGTCAGAATGCGAGTCCAGTATAGTTTTGGGGCTGTTTGCTTGGAATTTCAAGTCAATTGTAATTCTATGTAAATTACACGTTTAAGACCAGAAATAAGATTTTTTTTTAAGGGAGCTCCTCCTCATTCCCTGCCCTGTGCTTCTCTGAAGGGCTATTTTGGACCCTGAACAGGGGGTTCGAGCCTAGCATGCACAGAAAGAGCTGAGAAACAGGAAACAAATAGGCCAAGAGGGAATGGTTTAAGCTGACAGAGGGGAGACTGAGATGAGCTCTTAGGCACAAGTCCTTCCCTGTGAGGGTGCTGAGGCGCTGGCACAGGGTGCCCAGAGAAGCTGTGGCTGCCCCATCCCTGGCAGTGCTCAAGGCCAGGTTGGACACAGGGGCTTGGAGCAAGCTGCTCTAGTGGAAGGTGTCTCTGCCCATGGCAGGGGTTGGGACTGGATGAGCTTTAAGGTCCCTTCCAACACAAACTGTGATTCAGTTTTATCATTCTATGAAACCTGAACAATCCTCTGCAGAGGTAAATAGCATATGAAAGTTTTGCTGTTCACAAAGCATGAAACCAGGATAATTGTGGGAGTGTGCTTGTAAAACACAAGGAAACAGCTGAACAGCAGAAAGAAACAATATTGTGCCCTCCTAATGTCCCCAGGTTCAGTGGGTTAGCAGAGAACAGTTTGGAAGATGATGAAAAACAGAAGAATAGGCCAGACCTGGAAGGGGAACAGTAAAATTCAGGCCTGTGGGGATACATGTTTAATGTTTTAATTCTGAAGTCAGTTTAGGGACGATCTTTATGGGATTGGAAACTCAGGCTTTCTTCTCTAATTGAAAAGAAACAGCACTTGCTCAAGTAAGGATAGTTTCTTACCCATCTGTCATTACAAATTAAAGTAATACCAGATGTTGAGCAGGATCTAGTGCTACAGTGGGATTAACACTTCTTTCAAAAGTTTCCCAGCATGGTCTGTGATGAGAAAATAACAAAACCAAATGGTCTTTGCCCCAGGATCTGCATAATTGTAAATGTAACTGCAAAGACATTTCCACATTAGAGAGCTGTTACAAATGTCTACATGCTTGTTCCAGCTGAAACGTACTATGTTAGAACCTGTAGGACAGGCCACTTTGGTAACAGAAGGCTCTTTAATATACAAATCAATACAACCCCTGGATTTTGAAGCTGGATGTCCTCAAGATGACAGTAAAATGTCCACCTTCATAGCAAATGTGACTGGCACAGCTCGTGAAACAATGTTGCGAATTGTCCATCAACTGAATGTTTCCTTCACCATTTGGTAATTGTATTGACGAGAATATTACTAATCCTTTCCTTAGTTACACTGATTTGTTCTGCAACAGCCTCTGAATGAAAATATGAATCAGCTTTGTAGTTTTCCTCAAAAATCTCTTAATGGGTGGGAAACCTGGAGAGCACAGACACTATTATAAATAAATGGCAGGGCTGCGTAGGCACTGGATGGCATCCCCTGGATTTGAGGTGGAGATCACAGAATCATAGAATCAACCAGGTTGGAAAAGACCTTTAAGCTCATCCAGTCCAACCATTCCCCAGCACTGCCAAGGCCACCACCAACCCGTGGCACTGAGGCCTCATCTCCACGGTGCGTGAACACTTGCAGGGACGGTGACTCCAGCTCTGCCATGGGCAGCCTCTTCCAATGCCTGAGCACCGTCTGGGGCAGGAATTGTTCCTCAGCTCCATCTAAACCTGCCCTGGTGCAGCTTGAGGCTGTTTCCTCTTGTCCCATCCGTCGTTCCTTGGGAGCAGAGCCCAGCCCCTCCTGGCTCCATCCTCCTGTCAGGCAGTTGTAGCAGCAGCCTCCCGAGGCCGCTGTTGCCGTGTAAACCCCCACCACAGGACACCACGAATGCTCCAGACCTCACGTCCCGTCCCTCGGGACTCCTCCTTTCCTCTCGCCCCTGTTCCCGTTCCCCGACCCGCCAAGCGCCGCGGCGCCAGCAGAGGGCGCTGCCGCACGCAAGGTCCGCGGGTGTCGCGAGCCGGTGCGCGCTGCGGAGATGGAGTAACGGGAGGTAACGGGGGAGTAAAGGGGGATAACGGGGGTAAAGGGGGTCACGGGGAGTTATGGGGCATTAACAGTGGGCTGAGCAGTGAGCTCTGCCTTTCCTGAGAATCAGCTCTGAAGAGAACACTGCAGAGAGCCTGTCGGTTTCTGTCCTACATGTTCTCTGGTGACTGGGACCCCCTCCCTGTGCCGCAGCCTAGGCTCAAATCGGAGGACTGAGGGCTCCGAGACCGATCTGGCAGCACTACAGAGAGCAGAAGACATGTGGTCCTGTAACTCAGACTCTCATAGTTCTCTCGGAGACCTCTGGAGGTCCTAGAACACTGCTTTTGAGCTCAGCTCTTGGTTATTTGGCCTTGCCATGAGAGACTACTCGTGAGGCACAGCAGGAGGAAGTGGGGAATTGCTTCTTAGAGAAGCTAAGAACGTGTGTGATTATCCCTACTATGAAGAGCACATGTACTGGGGAGATGAGACAAACCAGGCTCATAGGTTAAGTCAGCATCACACAAGGAGATGGCAGAGGTCAGGATCAACATGTCACCCTCCCACAGCCCAGCTCACTGCCAGCACAGGAAAACTGTGGATGCTAATTTAATCTGAGACACCCTGCCTCCTGAATTAGGTTTTAGCAACAGCTAAATTAAACCCCACATGTTAATTTCACTTGTTACCATTGTATTTTCTTCGTGGCTCCCTGTTACTGAAAACTGCCTGTAACCTCAAGGAACAGTCTTGGCTAGATTCACTGAGGCTAAAAATCTTGCACATAGCTCTGTCAGAAATGTGCAGCTCTGAAGGACAGGTTGAAACAGGATCTTCTGATCTATCTGGGGGAAGATGAGCCATTCTGTGCTACAGAACCCCTGCAAGAACTTGAGCTTCAGAGGCTAAGTGAGGGAAGTGGGATCATGACTGACGTTCACAGGCATTTTGTGTATGGCCTGTTTGCTGTCCCCCTTGCCATAGCCCTGGGAGCACATTTTAGGGAAGAAACCCATGCAGCAGCACCTAAATCACCGCTTCTGAAATGCTTCTGAGGAAAAATATCACAAAAAAAAGAAATTAATGCTGAATCAAGTCCACATGGAGTGATCTCACACCTCCTGAGCAGTCAAAAGAGCTGGACAAGAGAATATGCTCTTGTCCCCAGTGAGGACTTCATGTCAGAAGCAATCCAATACTAACATAAATGTGGTTGTAACAAGTGAGCAGAACAGCCCAGCTACATAGGAAAGAGTATCAAAGAGATGCCACTATTAGCACCAATAGTGCAGTTCCCAGTTGAACCTGCTTACTGGTAGAGCAAAATCTTCCTGATAAATTCAGCATCTGTTCAGCTGGATTTCATTCACTGCAAGAATGAGCGGTAACCTACTACTTACGAAGGCTGAATGATTCTTTCCTAAACTTCTAGAAGAAATTAGCATGAAAATTACTAGAGTAGAGAAACCTCATAAAAGACTTCCAAAATCTATTTTGCTGTCAAAACCCAATGCAAAACTGCACCCTTTAGTTTTTTTATTGCTTCCAATGTACTGGGGGATTCCCATGTCTTTTCCTGCTGTTTGATCCATCTCATTGTCATTAAGCTCTTTTCTCTATTCAAATGGATTTGTGGTTTTAGAAGAAATACATGGGACCTGGCAGGTCAATAGCATTGAGCACAGCATCACACTAAAGCAGAAAAGGGGAATTACAGGGGTTTCCTTTGTTTCTTAGAAAAAGAAAGTATTTCATTGCACATGGAACAAGAGATTCTTCATAAAACCCTGCCAGGGCAAATCAAACTATTTGGGATGATTTTCCCCAATTGCTGCCAGGCTTGAAAGCAGCTGTGAATAAACAGCAAAGTGAGTGAAAACAGAAACCACCTCCACCATCCTCCAGTGTTACCAGATCATTAGGTAAGTGTAATTGCAGTCGAAATACCACAGCACCTTTCCCTGTGCCTTTCTGCGTCGTTTCCATACACACCCTGTGGAAAAAATGATTCTAAACAACAATCTGGATGGGTAAAACTGTAGAGTTATCTCAGTACAGCACAAAACAGAAAATTAATGGTTTATTCCTTAAATACTGAGAGGAAATGCTTAACACAAAAACCTCACTCCTCAGGAGACTGCCTTACCTTGTGCTTCCACAGACACCTTCAGACTTGATTTTCTGAAGACTGGGAAAGAAAACGGCCACTGAAAAACAAAGCAGAGCGTTTGGGTTAAACCTTGAGAACAAAAGTGTCAGAGATTGGAAAATGAACTTCAGGGGCTGTTAGTTTGAGTGTGAGTGAAAACAGTCCTAATGAGAGTGGCCCTTTTCCTGCTACCCTGTCTTCGCCCGTCACATTCGCAACCTTGCTCGTAACTCTGCGGGTATGGATTCTGGTAGCTTCAGTATTTAAGGGTCTAAAGTCCTGGCCTCGAGCACACGCCCGGGAAGCACAGAGGGATTTTACTGAGCCCGCGCGGGGTTTGCTCCGCGTCCCCGCAGCCGCCGAGCCCCGCCCGGGAAGCGGCCAGACCCCATGGGAGCCCCGCCGGGTGGGCAGACCCGGAGCCGCGGGGAGGGCCGGGAAGGGCAGGAGAAGCAGCCCTGGGTCCGCCCCCGCCGAGCCCCGCGCTGCACCTGCCTCCCGGCACCGCCCCGCTGCCCGCCCCGCGCGGAGCCGCGCCGAGCCGAGCCGCTGCGGGAGCTGCTGCCGGAGCCGCCGCGCGCCATGGGCACGGGGCGCAGGGGGATGCGCTGCATCAAGATCCTGCTGTGCATCTTCAACACCACCTTCTGGGTGAGCGCCGGGCCGGGCCGAGCGGGGCCGGGAGGAGCCGCCGCACCTGCTGCGGGCGCTGCCGGGGCCCGGGGGAGAGCGCGGGGTGAGGGGTGCCGGGTGCGGGGCTGCCAGCGTCAGGGACCGGTCCCGGGACGGGCTGCCCGAGTCCTCTGCCTCGGCTTCTACTCGCTCCGTAGGGCTGCAGTTCTCCCTGGGGAAATATGTACTCGCTCTAAGAGTATTTCCACTGCTGAGGAAAGCCACCACCTTTCCTAACCGGTAATTTAGTGCCCATTTCCCCAACCAGAATTAACATTTCCAACAACGAGAGGCTGTGAGAGGTTTTCCAGCCTCCCACACTGTGTATTCCAGTGGAATACTCCACAGCATCAGGATGCTCTTTAATAATGTAATTTCAAATAGCAAGCCAACAGCCACTACTTTCCCAAGCTCATCCTAAGCCTTGCATCAGACTGCACTTATCTTGCTGAAAGCTACACTAATGGGGCAATAAAGTGTCTACTGCTGAACCCTCAGGAGCTTTAGTGCTATGCCCACTCTGCCCTCATTGCACCTTTAATAGCACTGCTGAATTCAAGCTTGCTTTCCTTCTTTCACATTCCCTCATGCTCTGTTCTCCCCTCCAGAAGGGGTAACAATCACCAATGTTATCTTCTTAAACGTCTTTTTCTTTCCCATTCACTGTTTTTCAAAAAGTCACAAAAGAATCTCGTTCAGCCTCTCTGGAGCAAAGAGTTTTGGGCTTTTGTCTCCTTTATGCTTGAAGCACAGTTAAACCAACTGCTGTTCCCTCTTGGTGACAGCACTGCGAGCTCCGGGTACACAGTGCTGCTGTGCTCAAGCTGGAGGAGCAGAGTGATGTTGCCCAGCTGCAGCTGCAAGTCAGGAGAAGGACAAAGCTTTGTGTTGTTTCACAAAAGTGACAAGTACTGTGTTATCTGCCTTTTCATTGAGATGGGAGAAACCATCTCCTCAGCTGGACTGGGGGCATTCATCACCATCACCACCATCATCATCATCACCACCATGGAATGGTTTGGGTTGAAGGGACCTTAAGGCTCATCCAGTTCCAACCCCCTGCCACGGGCAGTGACACCTTCCGCTAGAGCAGGTTGCTCCAAGCCCCGTCCAACCTGGCCTTGAACACTGCCAGGGATGGAAGTCAATTAAGTTGCTTCCATCATCAAAGTTTGATGTACATCACAGTTAAACAGGGCTTAACTCCTGGTCACACAGCACTTCCCAATAAGGTGCTTTTCCTACAGTAACAGCATCTTGAGTCCAGACTGAGGCCCTGTGTGGCCTCCTGCCTGGACACAGTAAAGTTCTGAGAGTCAGGAAGAAGAGTGGAAGTTCACAAACACCACTACAGTTAAGAGCTGAAAGAAAGAAGTACATTGCACTCTAATAGGAATTCATTGTCACCGAATTTTCCGACTGCAATCCTGAGTTGTGGGATTTCAAGAAAGTACAAGGTACCAGTGACACCTCTTTAATGCTCTCCAGCCAACCCTTCCTGAAACACTGATGATTGTGTTTCTCTTCCAGCTGGCAGGACTGGCTGTTATTGCCTTTGGGCTGTGGCTGCGATTTGGTGGGGTTATGGCAGACATTGCTTCAGACAAAAGGTCTCCAGAGTATTTCTTCATGGGTAAGTTAAAATGCTTGTGATGACAGTAGACTTTAGCCTTGGTTTCATCCTAGAGCATGTGACATACCTTATGCACTGAACTATATGAAGGCCAACAATTCCTGGCCTGAACTACACAAAACTGGACATTCTGGTGCTGTCATGTGCATGACGGTTTTCATCCTTTCTTTGCTTGGCATCAACTTCCTTAGGCCTAAGTGAACCCTTCTCTCAGACCTGATCCAGCCCTCACGGATCCTAAGTGAATTGTGCTGTTGGAATAGAAGCTGAGATGGGTCAGAGACTTGGAACATGGGGCTCACCAAAAAATCCTTCCAGACTTCTCTGTGCAGTTGCTAACCAGTGAAACAACTGTTGCTTCTGAATGCTGTTACCACCAGTGCAGCAGGAAGGCTTTTGCTTGCCATTCTCCCTGCGTCTGCACACAGGGGCCCTGAGTGACACTTTCAAGTATCAGAGCAAGTCCTTCCACAGCTGAGAAGTAAAAATACACCCCCAGTATTCAGTCATCTCAAGGGCTGCTTTTCCAGCCCGGAGAGAAATCAGTAGCTCCCCAGGCTAGAGAACTGGTATTGGTCATATCTAATTTTAGGCATTTAAGATAATCTTCTTTCTCCCAAGGATTTCCAGTGGGTTTTCTGGAAACACCAGCCCTGTTCCATAGCTACAGACATCCTTAAATAGCAGCTTTCTAGGACTGCCAGCAGCTGTATTTCTCTGTGCACTGGCAATTGCAACGTGCCTTTACACCAGAAGAGTCACACTTTTGTCTGTTTTAATGTCTCACACCTGGGGATGGACTCACTCAGTTGGTACAAACATTTCTGCCATCTACAAATGCCAAGTGTGAATGAATCCCCTGTCCTGCCTTGTCCATCAAACCACTCTGACAGGGTGCCAAGAATGGAAGATGACCCCAGAAGTCCTGTAGCCGTCAGTTACCCATCCTGGGAACACTGCCTGAGCTATGCAGTGACTTTAAATACCCCAGTTCTCTTAGTGGAGGAGACCTTGGCTCTGCCACACCATACTTCTAGCCCCAAGCTTCTTTAACATATGCAGCCAGGCTGAAGGCACAGAGCTGCCTGTATGGTGCCGTGGAACAGATGGGTAGAACATTACACCCAGTTAAGTTTTGTGGAAGTTCATGAGGCTGAATAAAACCATTCAGATGAAAATCTGACTGGGACCTGAGGGTTACCCTCTAGCACCTCCACTGACACAGAGCCAGGAAGTATGATTTATGTTTTCTCTTACATCTGAGCTGCTATTAGATCAACTTCCTTTCCAGGTCCAGTTTATACCTATTGGATTTATTATGCTCTATCTTGGAGCTCTTCCCTGCCTCATCCACTTACTCTTGACCCAGGAGATCCAACAGGACAGAAAGATGTTCTGGCCTTCAAAATCAAGTACTGTTGGTTTGTTAGAAGCCAGAAAATAATAGATCCTGTGATGTGAATAAGCACCATGGTCATTTCACAGCTTTGCAAGTGCAGACTGTAACACAGTGTTATTTGGTGCCTGTGTATTTAAATCTCTACAAGATTTAATCTGCTTCAGTCCTGTATGGGAATTGCAAAAGCAGATCAGAGCAGTTAATTTGGAGAAGTCCTGGGGCATGTTCTTGTAAAAGTTTCATCATATACAGCAACACTCAACTCTTGGGGCTGTTACATGTATTTATAGAGCTGGACGTTGTAATACGTAGCTGCTAGCAGAGGAACTGATAAGGAACAGGACCTAAATGTTGAAGATTCTTTTGAACTTGAACTTTTGACCTGCTAAAGCAAAGTGTTGGCCCTTTTTTGTAGTGGGCTTCGTGCCTACTACAGGGAGCATTCCTGTTAAAGAAAAGTAAAACATTTTCTGCTGCCCTCACTCTTTACAGATCATATTAAATGTTGTGACTTCTGATGGGGCAGCCCAAGTCTGAGGCTGGTAACAATCTGTGACTAAGATAGTGGTAAAGGAATGGTGATGAGTTCCATAAGGGTGGGTTTTAGCAACAGGCAAGGCTGCACTTGACCATCATGCTCAAGGGCTTTACCCCTCTGCGAGATTTCAGCTCCAAGTCCCCTGACAATTGTGTACTGGGCCCTTCTCACAGGAGTGGTGTTCAGTTGGCTGTATGTGTCTGCTCTGTAACATGCATTCTGGGTGAGAGCCCAATTTTTGCATAGGAATTCTCAGTATGGAACACAAGGAGCAGATGCCCAGAGGGTTTCAGGAGAAAGAGATCAGCAATATGACTTGGAGATAGAAACACATGGCAATAGATTTAAAAACAAGTCCTGTAGCTCTGTTCCACTGCCTGCTTTGTGTTTGCCTTGCGATAACACTGTGCTCAGCTCAGCTTTGTGCCAGTGCTTGGAACAACACTGCAGCTGCATTCAGAGTCTGCTTGGTAGGTTGAAGCACTGTCCAGAATCAGCATCTTGTGGAAAACAGCTCATTTTCTTGATTCTAAAGAGCAGCACATTCTGCTCTTCTTGTACCTGCACTGAGCTGCCAGCTGAGTCTAACCAGCTTCTCTCTCATGCTTCCTTGTGATGGGGTTTATATTCCTGGTTCTGAAATGTTTTAGTTTAAAATAATTGATTATATCTTTGCATTTTCCATTAGGGCAGAAGGAGTCTCCTTAAATAGCCTTGTTCTTTACCATCAGCCCAGCCCAGTCTGCCCCCTGGAATAGTTTGGGCTCTGACTTGGCAACCAGACATGTTCATCTTTTCCAGCCACTGAAATGTTTGTGTTGGTTTGAGAACAACTCAGAGGCAGCAGTGCTGAGGTCAAGCACACATATGTGTTCTGAGCTATCTGCTGCTTGTGATTTTGTGTTTGGTGATCCATATTTCCCACTGCAGCTTGCAGGTTTTTAACTTACAACTTTAAAGGTTAGATTTGAAACTCTCTGACCCGTAAAGTCTCCTCCTTCACTTTACCACATGTATCTTACACTGGAGTGGCTTCCTAAAATTGGCCATCCTCTCTCTGCAGCTCCCCAAGTTTCTGAGTTCCCACTGCACAATGTTTCTGTGTCACGTCACCTCACAGTATGTTTTGTGCCTGTGCTTCAAGTGGTGAAGCAAAACGGCAGCTTTCCTACTCTATGGCAGTTCAGCTTTGCTGGATTTCATACATTCCTCTCTTAAAGAAGAAAGATAAAAGGAAAAATAAAAGATCATTTAAAGGTCAGTAGAGGGGCAGTTACCTCATCTGAGCTGCCTGTGACACTATTGACCAAATGGAGAAAAGATCTGTAGGAAAAAAGAATTCCCTCAGCTTCTTCATCCTTCTCAAGACTCCTGTGCCAAGACTGTGCCGAGTTTTCTGCTGGGCAGGAAAGCTTGCAACAATCAGAAGGAAAAGAGAGATGTTTGTGTGAACCCCAGAGGTCAGCATTGCTGAGTGCAATGAAAACTAACACGGGGGTTTATAAGGGTTACTTCAAGACACCTTTTTTCCTCTTTGCTTTTGGTGGATGAAAAGTCTGCTCTGGTTCCTTGGGCAAAATGGAGGACAAACTATCCCTCATAAGTGGAGTGCAGAGGATCACATCACTGCCAGCAGCAATAAAAATGGAATGTATGTACTCAACAAGCCCCCTCAGGAATGCTAACAAAACCTGACAAACGTGAATGAATCAATCACAGAATCCTAGAATGGGTTGGGTTGGAAAGGACCTTAAGATCATCCAGCTCCAACCCCTGCCATGGGCAGGGACACCTTCCACTAGAGCAGCTTGCTCCAAGCCCCTGTGTCCAACCTGGCCTTGAGCACTGCCAGGGATGGGGCAGCCACAACTTCTCTGGGCACCCTGTGCCAGCGCCTCAGCATTCTCACAGGGAAGAGCTTCTTCCTTATATCTAACCTGAACTTCCCCTGTTTCAGTTTGAACCCATCACCCCTTGTCCTGCCGCTAAATGTGGATGGCTCTTACTCATAACTGCCAGCATGGAAGTATTGCTTCTCCTGCACAAACTTTCTGCTTCGCTACATCTTCTCTGCTTTCATTCCATGATCCAACCTGTGGTCCAGGCATCCATCAGGGCCAAAACAATTGTGGGCAGAACTTTCAGGGTGGCTGTGGCTTTCTCTGGGGGTCTACAAGAGCAGGAGTGATCATGCTGGCTTTGAAAGGTACAGTTAGAAGGCACATGCCTGAGGATATGAAGTCATGTCTGGAGTTGAAGGATATTAGTAGTTTTTCTCCATAGCAGTGGGTGCCCATACAAACAGGAACATATTGGCCAGCAGTTAAATTCACGTAAACAGCAATTCTCTGCTTCCGTGCCTCATTTTGTTATAGTTCTAGTCATTTATTTTGGAATCAAGCACTATATCCTTTGTCAACAGTGTTTTCTCTCAACTCCATAGCCTCAAACTCTATCAGCCTTTAAAATGAGAACCATTGGCAAAGCACCCTCTCTGTAGAGATGAGGAGCATCAAACGGTCCTGCTATCATGTGTGTTAGAGAGGCTTTCAGTCTGTACTTAAGACTTAAACAATGAATTTGTCTTTCTTCCTATCATCTTGTGTGCAGATCTCTTCTGTATTGAGGAAGAGTGGTTTAGAAAAGGCTGATAGTGGCTCCGAGTGGCTGCACCGGAAATTCTGCTTGAAAAACATGACAGCACCACCCCACAAAAAAATCTCACCCTTACTCAAAATGAAAGTTGTTCAAAAGTCCTCAGTCCCTGCACTGGATTGTAAAACCTGGCAGTCAGTTCCTAAGAATCAGTACCCACCTGCAAAGGAAAGGCAAGGCCAGCACAAAGTTAGTAGTCTGATAAAACAAGTTACTTAAGCCCATGGTTCAGCCCAGAGAAGAAAAGCTCTATGGAGACAGAGTAGCTTCCAATATCTGAAGAGACCTACAAGAATTCTGGAGCGCAGCTCTTCATTGGGGACTGTAGTGATAGGACAAGGGGTGATGGGTTCAAACTGAAACAGGAGAGACTTTAAGGAAGAAGTCCTTCCCTTGAAGGAAGGTGGC